GTGTGTGTGTGTGTGTGTGGTGAAGAGCAATCCTTTCAACCCCATTCAACCCCCATTACAAGAACGAAACGGGCATTTGCGAAGATACCCCATGTGCGCTGTGTACGGGGAAGATCTCTCTCTCTCTCTCTCTCTCTCTCTCTCTCTCTCTCTCTCTCTCTCTCTCTCTCTCTCTCTCTCTCTCTCTACCCCACTTCTGTGCTCCCGTCACGTGAGGAAAAACAATATTCGAACACCCACTGCCAGACTCGCAACAATAATCAGGCACAAAAAAGAGAACCGCGGAAAAATAATATTCGAACACTAGCTGCCAAACTGCTCTCCAAATGTGATCAATGAGACTGAATCTCCCATCGTTTTGTCTCTTGTGCATGCGCAGAGTCGTGGAGCAAGGGCCTTTCGTCCGCACCTTGACCGACAAAGACAAAAAAAAAGAATCTACCGAACGACAAAAAATGAAGAATCTATCCTTCGGGACATCCATTAAAATTGGAACGATACAGAGAGGATTAGCATGGCCCCTGCGCAAGAAAAAACGAAGAATCTACGGGCGAAAAGAAAAAAACCCTCTGCACATCACGACACTATGTACTTGTATTCCAACACGCGCACGGCCAATTGGAAATGGCAGCAGCTCTTCATTTCGTTGGGCCCGCCCCTTGTCCCGACGGCTTTCCCAACACTGGAAGACGGGTCTGCATGGGAGCTTCACGCGAGACCCGCTATTTGCTTTAAGAGTATTATTATTATTATATTAAGGAAGTGCCCTTCTATTCGAAGAAAAGGGCCGAAGTTTCCAAAAAACGTTTTTTTGGGAAAAGTCGAATACAATGCATATGCGTTATGGTCAGGGGAAGATGGTAGGTGTGGCCTACTGCGCATCCACACGGGCCAGCAGGGCCCGACCAGACGGAATATAAGGGCCCTCCAGGCCCTGTGTCGTTTCAGCCTAAAAGCCTGAAAACGAGGGCCATTTTCAGGCCCTCGTAAAGTCGACCTGCCCTGAAACTCAGGCACCAGACCAGGGTTTAGCACAGGCCATTTTTGGCCCTGTTTCAAAACAACCTTGTTTGAACTTCAACGCCAGGGTCTGGCACGTTTTGGCATTGGCAAGAGCAGACTCCCGGACGGTCCAGCACTATATAGAACTGGCCCGCCCTGCAGGCTGCAGGTAGTTCACGGAAACTTCCCAGGCAGTTCACGGGCACTTCATGTGCAGGAGGCAGGAGGCAGTCTTCAGGAGTCGGCCGCAGCACTCTGGAGGAGTGCTGCAGTAGTAGTAGTTGTAGCTGGCGCTAGAGTAGTCTTCAGCGCTGGGCGCTGCTAGGAGGTAGAGTAGCGTTGGGAGAGAGAGACAAGGGCAGAGGCCAGGGAGACTTACCTGTGGCGCCATAGCTCCAGCTTCGTCTTCGATGTACCTGCAACAAGGCGCCACCTTCACAGGTTAGTACTTGGTACAAGAGGGAGAGAGAGAGTTCTTCTTCTTCCTCCTCTAAGCCCACCATCTCTCCCTCACCCTCTC